ACAAGGGGGAGCTCATAGATCCCAGATTGATGACTGAGAGGCCAGCATGGGACTGATCCAGACCCCTGAATGTGGGTGTCAGTGAGAAGGCCTCAGCATTTGGGGCCTTGGGCAATAGATCAGCATTTAGCCCTCTCATTCAGATTGACTTTGGGAGCCCATTTCACATGGAGGGATGCTGTCTCCACCAGAACACATGGGGGAGGGCCTAGGCCCTGCCCCGCATCATATGACAGACTTTGGATATCCCCCATGAAGGGCCTCACCCTCCTTGGAGAGTGGTGTGGAGTGGGGGTTGGGGGAGGGTTGAAGGGGAGGCAGGAGAGGAAGAGAGGACAGAGAGCTGGGATTGACATGTGAAGCAAACTTGTTTCTAATTTAAATAAAAATTGAGGAAAAAAGATTAAAAAAAAGAGTAAGACCCATGCCCAGTAGTAGATGGCCAACACAAGACTGAACTCAATGGTACTTTTGTAGTCCTTTTTATCTCAAATTGTTTTGGACTTTGTTCTTTTATTGGTGTTTTGCTTTTACATTCTAGTTTCTATTTTTGTGATTTTTTTGTTTTGTTTGCTTTTTATTTTTCAAAGAAAGAACATGGCTTAGTAGATAGGATCTGTGAGGAGTTGGGGGAAAAAAAAGCATCATTAGAAAAAAAATTAATAAATTTTTTTCAGACAAAAAAATCAGGCATAAGAAGTGTCTTTTGCAAGGAAACATGACACTAGAGATCACAATGTTAAGCAAACTAAGTCAGACTCAGAAAGGAAACTATCACGTTTTCTCTCATATGTAGAATTTGGATTTTTTTTAAAGGCATAAAATAACTGTATTTGTGAAAGGGAACCAGCTGGAGGCGGGGGGGGCACAAAAATGTTAACATGCATATGATCAGGGTCCATGGTGCCTATGTATGAAATGCCAGTGCCATTATGAAAAACATTATGGTTTATAATCAATATGTGCAACAAAAAATGGCACCTGTCTCAATTGCTTATGTATAGCTTCTACTATAGGTTTGCTGGTTCCTTGATGCTGATTATAAAGCATGGGTTCCTTTGGGATACTGCCATGTCTGCTTAAAGTAGATCGCTCTCATAGGAGAGACATTGAGGTTAGTAACTCAACTCTGTGCTGCCTGTTTGTTTAGTAAATGTCTGAATAGTTGGCAGAATTTGTCCTATGTCATGCCTTTATCATAACCTGGTAATGAGACTGTAAAACAGTGGTTGCCATGCAACCACCTCAGCTAACTCCTTATAGTAGGCTGGTCTCAAAACTATCTTAGTCTACAGATGCTAAGGTTACCAGGTCTGGGGTTGTGGGGTAGTGATCTAGGGTACCACCAAGTTTGTTTTGTGGGATTGACAAAGAATGGTACACCCTGGAAAAACCAACACAGAGAAAGTTAAAGGTCCAGATTCAAGAGAGAGGACAGCAGTCGATGCTGGGTGGAAAGTGAAAGTGACAGGCAAGAGTGAACACCAGTCACCAAGGAGGCAGCAGCATGAGACAGGGGGAAAGGAAGGAGGGGAAGTGGGTGAGAGTAGGGCAGAGGGAGGGAGGGAGAGAGGCAAAGAGGGGAGGGGAATAAAAACTACAGCCGTTGTTAGAACTGCTCCCAGGGTGCTTGCTGTGGGCTCTGGACCCTGGGCCCTCCCTTTCCTGGTTCATTGCTGGAGTATCCTCCCTTAGGCAGGCTCTTTTCTCCTCCAGTGGATTTTTCTTCTAAATGCCCTTAGGAGTTGACAATAGTCCAACCCTGGAGCAAGCAGCAGGTCCTCTTAAAGGGGCTGCTCCATCTCTGCTTTCCAGATCTGACTAATCAGTTCACCTGACCCTCCTTCACTTGTACTGTGAAACTGCTCCACCTTATCTTTTGTGGTGTCTGTCTGTTTGTCCGTCTGTCCATCCATCCATCCATGCAAAAGAACTGACGTGACTTAAGAGTTGAACACAACAAAGATTAGTTCAGGTCACAATAATTATTACATGATACAAATTTACATTTTTCAGTTTTATTTTAAACACTTCACATTAAATGAAATATAACTATATCCATTACAGAGCATTACCACAATAATATGCACAAAGAACTCTTAAAATAAAAAAGGATACAATCTTCAACAGGTTAAATGCCAATTTACTATGTAAACAAACAAACAAAAAAACCCTGATGCTAAAGAGTATCTATTTAGAGGTAAAATACAGATACAAAAACATTTAAACATGAACCTTACTGACAACCAACCACATTCTTTGCAACAGAGGACACCCACTGGTTCTTCTCATGTACAATGCTTCAGAATCCTGTTAAACTCACAGCCATCTCTGGTTCATGACACGGCACAATTCATAAGGCAAAGATATAGGCATTATCATCCAGTTCTTTAATTTCACATGTATATTAAGGCAAACTTGGAACTTTTTGCTTGGTATTTTAAAATAAGTGGGACTTTACACATGATAACTTGACAAAATTAAAGGTAGAAGACATGTGGATATGTAATCGGAAAGACATGGGTGAAAATTTTTCTCTCTGCAGAGATGTAAACTGGATTTTTATTTGACCATATTCACACTAGTTAGATTTGTAAACTTTTTGTATTTAAAATATATTAAAATTATTTTCCAAATGTGAATATCAACACTGAATTCAATACACTGGAAGTGAAGAGCCAATAAATGCCCAGCTACAGAATCATTATCTAATTAAATTTTGCCTGATTAAAGTGCTGTACACAGTGGGAAAGAAAGGTTAAGTAGCAGAACAGGATGTTAACTTCACATGTCACTTTCTGAATAGAAAGTTTAGAGAGGTTAGCATAAATTTATTGAACTTTAAGCAGTAACTTTATTGTAGAATCTGATTTTCCTAAAAATGAGCACTTTGGTGACAATACCAGGAATCCAACGCTACAACTGAAAACAAAATAAAAAGCAAACAACAGAATCCAGCATGATATATACATGTATTTTCCTCAATGTTAGCCAGAGCTATGATGTTCTAGAAAATGTGTTTGTGTGTGTTCTTTCTTAGTTTTGTTTTTCCTTTAGGAAATATACTATCCAAATCTAAGAAACATGGAATTTTTTAAAAAAGTGATTTTTTTATGTGTGTGGGGGAATGGGGGGCAGGGATACCTAGAGAGGCCAGAAAAAGGCATCAGATTCCCTGGAGCTGGAGCTGTGGAACAGTTGTATGCCTCTCTGAGAGCTGGAAACCAATCTCCAGTCCTCTGTAAGAGCAGCAATTAATCTTAACTGATGAGCCATCTCTCCAGACTCCACATGGATTCTATAAAAACTACAATTTTGACAAATCTTGCTTGTGTCATTAAAACCTAACTAGACACAAGTATTTGTTTATATATAAACTAAGCTTCAAGTCACTTCCTATGACTTTGGGAATAAGGAATTAGGCTATATATTTTCATAATCATTAAAGGAGTAAATGAACTCCATTATTGTTTACTCTTTTGATCGAAGAATATATCCTACTTACATTTCAGTAGATGCCACCACAACATCTAATATGATGTCTCACATATATGTCAAACTATTCAAACCTTTCAAAACCAAATTCCATTTTCCTATCATTTGATACTGCATCCTATAATTTGATATTTATTCATATTTAAAACACTATTAGCAATAACATGAAATTTACAAATATCCTTTGGGTTTACCTCTTAAAAAATCAATTAAATTCTACTACTACATACAATAAATATTAAATAGCCAAACATTGCCTATACATTCTTTCACATAATTATAGAAGGCAAGTGACATTACCAGTACAATTGATTAGATTTCTATTTACCTGTCACTCTTTTCCAAAATATTTCTGGGCAGTCTTAAATTGCTTTCAAGTTCTTGATTGAATACACACACACACACACACACACACACACACACACACACACGTGTGATATATATATATACACATATATATATCCAATATATATAATCCAATATATATTGAATGTATATATGTATGTCTATGTATAAACATAAACCCAGGGATCTTTACTCTAACATTTTACCCTTTTTTGCATAGGAAACATGGAGTTTTACATTCACAACTTACCAGCCCAGTATTAATGTGAAACTGCTCAAATTTGAACAGAAATCTCTTTTGTAAACTTACCAGGTGTCAGGACACATAGTAGCTCTGGTTACTATGAACAATACAACAGGATTCCTAAAATACAGTGCATTTCTAAATTTTGATGGCTAATTTTTTTCTGCTTTGTATGTTTTTGTAACTTTGTTTACAGGATCATGATCCTACTGTTGCCCAAAATGTTTCACATTTAGTTTTTCAACAAAAATTAAAATAAAAAAAATAGTACATATTTTGGATCTAACTTAGCAAATGGCTATGTGTTTTATATGAATTGCATACTGGGGACAATATATGAGTAAATCACTGTTGAAATAGAATGATTAAAAAAAGACATGTTTGGCCGGGTGTTGGTGGCACACGCCTTTAATCCCAGCACTCGGGAGGCAGAGGCAGGCGGATCTCTGTGAGTTCGAGGTCAGCCTTGTCTACAGAGTGAGTTCCAGGACAGCCTCCAAAACAATACAGAGAAACCCTGTCTCGAAAAACCAAAAAAAAAAAAAAAAAGACATGTTTGAGCCAGGAGGTGGTGGCGCACACCTTTAATCCCAGCACTCGGGAGGCAGAGGCAGGCGGATCTCTGTGAGTTTGAGGCCAGGCTGGACCGACAGCCTCCAAAACAATACAGAGAAACCTTGCCTTGAAAAACCAAAAAAAAAAAAAAAAAAAAAAAGACGTGTTTACATGGGGGAGGGTCTAGGCCCTGCCTGGGATGAAATGACAGACTCTGGAGATCCCCCATGGAGGGCTTCACTCTACCTGGGGAGCGAAGTGGGGATTGGGTGGGGGGTTCAGGGAGCTGGAGGGAAGTGGGGAGGAGGAAGAGGGGAGGGAGAGGGATCTGGGATTGACATGTGAAACAAGCTTGTTTCTAATTTAGGTGAAAAAAAAAAAGAAAAGATGTGTTTATATTAAAATAACTTTCTAGTCTTTCAAATCCACTTCACTTCTGTGAGGAAGAGATTAAAAGCAGCATAACAGAATACATTTAACAATTTGATGGATATAAACAAAAACAGCTAAGCTGGGGTCTTAAAAGTGAGTATGTGCAGGAATCTACTTTAAAATGCTTTTCTTTAAATAAGGTTTAGGCCAAACACAATAGTGCACCTTATTACTATTCAACAAATTTATTCAAATCAATGAAAAAGTTATTGCTACATGTCACTATGATATTCAAATAAGCGACACAGAAAATACGTAGTTGCTTTTAATAGCTCCTGTTGAGTTCTAGGTTAAAAGACACTAAAAATTACCTGCAAGGTTTTATAATCTGTGCAAATATTTGTAGAGCATGGTGTTACTTTATGACTAAAGTTGATTTTACACAGTTTCATAGTATATCCTCAAATCTACAATGGGTAGTTTATGGAAGAACAAGGAAAACTACAAATTGCTCAGCTATCGTTTTTGAGCAATAACATATATGCGAACAGGTGAAGCTAGGCTTTAAAATTACAAATGGCTTCTTAATGATAGAGTAGTATGGCACTTAAGAATGCAGGATGAGTTCTTTTCTTAGGGAAAAATATTCACTGGTCTTACAGAAGTTATAAAGAGGAAGAAAGAGTAGGTAGGTAAAAAAATAAAAAAGAAATAAAAGAAATGAAAAAATTACTAAATATGAAAATGCAAGTACCAACATAGTAATAAAATGGAAGTTAATATGTTTAAGACTAACAGATATTTATTAAACCATGTTAAAATAAGTTAACTATTTTTTAAAAATAAGCTGTCAGTGGCTGTAACAAACAGTATTGTTTTGAAAGATAGTTTCTTTAATCAAAGCAGAACCAAATTTAGAACCATTTATTCAAGTAAACATCGAGATCCAGTTTTCTTCCATAAGTTAAAATACTCAGTTACCTAAAAAATGAACAAAGTAACGCACACCTGCCTAGCATGTTGTGTTTGGTGCATGTGTTTCTGTGCTGAAGGACATGTAATTTCTAGAACAAGAAGAAAATAATAACAATAAAAAAAGCATCACTCTTTAAGTCACCATTCAAAAACCATGGGAAGTATAACTCAAGCTTTTTGGATGATTCTGGATGTTAATATTAATGTAATCACTAACATTTTCCATAAGCACAAATGAAATCAAGCCAGTAAAAATGAAAGATTATCATAGTACATCATGCATCTCACATTGAACACCCAAATAACATTGGTTATAGCTTTGTTATACATCCTACAGTTAGCACCATTTTAATATTTGAACACTGAAAACAAAATTAAGACCTTAAAAAAATAAACTTAAGAATATATGAAAACAACAATATGCATCAAGGGTGGTACCAAACACCTTTCAAATATATTTACATTAACCATCAGAAGCCTGCTGTGTAACACTAAAGAAAATCTGAAACTGACACAATTAGTTTTCTATCCATGCTTACCAAAGCACAGATGAGGTCATCCAGCCCATGTAGAAAAAGCATAAACAAATGTCATGTCTTAAAACAGAGCCCCAAATAGGATAATAAAAGCCATTGTTTTGCAACCTCATCACACTAGTAGCCCTAAAATCATTTAGCAGAAAGAGCCCTCAGGTGACTGACATGTTATTTACAATCCTTGAACTACCCAAAGTAAAAGCAGCCCTTTAAAAAAAAAAAAAAAACATGAAGCATATGAATTTGCAACCAGCAATCCCTATCCACATTCTGTCCAGTCATTCGATGCACTCTAGATTGGAAGCTTCTCTCATCCTACTAAACCATGATACAGATCAAGAAAGAAAAGCTTAAATTATTGAAAACAAAATTTAAAAGCAGCAAGGTTTTCTCTACATTTAGGAATATAAAAACTAGTCTATCCCAGTCTTACAGGAGAAAAGTGCACAATTTAATTGGTTAGTTCTTTCCTTTTTTTCCCCTATTATTGATTCACTGTATAATCAAGAGCAATTCTAACTGTTTGTCAGTTTAGAGTACCCAACGAGACTTTGAGTCTTCATGCCACTTCAAGTTAACAAAGCAGTGCAGCTTTCTGGTTCAGGACACTGGGCATTCCTTCCTGTGGCCCACCATGTGTGATTTCCACACGTTCACACTTCTCAAAGTGCAGTCAATCCAAAATTGCAGCGACAGTATATCATGCCAGCTGAGTCCAGCCATGTATCTGTGATAGGGTCATATTTCTGTACTGTGTTCAAATAGGAAGACCCTGAGTGACCACCGACTACATAAAGGTAGTTATCAACTACTGCAGCACCAACTCCTAAGACAGGTGGGGAGAAGAGAACAAACAGGTTAATTGTGAAGTAGACTATGTCTCACTGGGAATAAAATAATTTATATTTTAGTGCATTTTCAAAATTCATTTCAGCGACCTACTATAATTGTATAAGCAATACAGCAATATAGGCTTACAAGAGAAAACAAAATAAAGCAAAAACCTCTTAGCAAAGCAGTCAGTTGCTGTCACCTCTGTTCTTTATTCTACTCTCCCTCCCTCCCTACTACAGGAAAGTACTTTCAAAACATGCTTTTAGTTTTGACACACAGTAATTGGACTTGCTCACAGGGTACAATGTGATGTTTCAATGCATGCATAGAAAGTACAATGACCAGATCAAGGTAACTGGAATACTTTTTGTTTTGTTTTGTTTTGAGACAGGGTTTCTTTGCGTAGTTCTGGCTGTCCTGGAACTCACACTATAGTCCAGGTTGGCCTCAAACTCACAGAGATCTGCCTGCCTCTGTCTCCCAAGTCCTGGCATGCATTCTTAAAGTACTAGGAAGAAAGCAGTATACTTATAAAGTATATTTGCATGTCTTTCTATAAATTTGATCAGGTTTTCAAATACACCGTACTATGTAACTTATGTCTTAAAAATCCTCCTAGATATTACCACCTGTAGTTCAAAAACAGTAAGTCTATCTACATTTAAAACATTTTTATTGTTTTTTATGGGCTTCCCTATTGAGTGTGCCTAGTATGGTTAAATGGTTCATTGCATTTTTGTGTTTTTAATTTTTCTTGAGTTCTTATGATTCTGGAGCTTTTTTAATCATACAAATAAGAAAACTCGCCCGGTGGTGGTGGCACATGGCTTTAATCTCAGCACTTGGTATAAGTACAGGTGAGACCAGATATTCATACCAAAAACAAAAACAAAACCTACCAGTAACGACCAAACTTATATGACTAGGCCCCATAAACTACATGAACAATGAAAACAATATGTCTCTATAAATAAGCACCCCTAATTGTAAAGCTCCTTGAAAAAAGAAACTTGGTGCACAACACAAGGTTTTCAAAGCAGAAATAATTAATATGTTTAAGGAACCTAAAGAGGATACAGAAAGAACAAAATCATAGTGAAGCATAGAAAATACCTCCAGTAAAATAAAATCACAGAAGAAATTTCCCCCAACTTATGAAATGCCTATCCAGGTATAAGAGGTCTGTGGAATTCCAAGAAGACAAGAGCAGAAAATAAGTTCTCCAGGACATATGATAGATGGTCCTAGAAGGAATATTTCAATCTGAGGACAGGGTAAGCACACTCAAGAGAACAAATAGGGAACAAATAACACCAGGACATGAAGTCAAGAGATACCAGAAAGCACTGCAAAACTACCAAAATGACAGGAATTAATACACACCTTTTAATAATAACTCTAAATATTAATGGTTTTGATTTCCAAATAAAACATATGGTTTGGCAAAAACAACAACAAAAAAATACATGTAGGTCAACAGGATAGAAATAAATTCCCACAGCTATAGCCACCATAACAAAGGAGCCAAAAACACACACTAGAAAAAAGATAGTTTCTTTAACAAAAGGTGCTGGGACAATTAGAAATCTGCATTAAGAGGAATAAGGGGCTGGAGAGATGGCTCAGTGGTTAAGAGCACTTGCTCTTCCAGAGGTCCTGAGTTCAATTCCCAGCACCCACATGGCAGCTCACAGCTGTCTATAACTTCTGTTCTAGGGAAGCCTATGTACAAGTCAGTTAAAGATGATTTTTTTTGTTTTATGCTTGAACATATGTCTTATGTGTCTTGTAGTATTTTAGGTTTATTTATTTATGTCTATAACCAGGATTTTCAGGGGATCTTCCTCAATTAAACCTGATCATCTTTAACTGAAAAAAAAAAAGAATACTAGATGCCAGTTTCTCACCCTGTACAAAAAAAAAATCCATCCAAAATAGACCAAAAACCTTAATGTATGATCTGAAATTTTGAAGCTGCAAGAGGAAAATGAACAGAAAATGGCTTAAGACAAAGACAACAACTCTCTAACCAGGACTGCAGCAGCTCAGCAAACAGTAAATGACAATAAGGAACTATTATTCAGAATATATAAATGACTCCACATAACTCAGTTAATAAATGAGTAGACAAACTAGAGAACTCTCGAAAGTACAAATTCTAAGCACATGAAAAATTGTTCAGCAGGCCTCAGTTGTCAAAGTACTGCGATCACAAGTGTCTTGAGACCCCACCTTACCCCAGGGAGAATGGCTGCTGTTCAAGGGAGCAGCATGTGCTGGAGAGGACACGTGGAAAAGGAACTGATAGACCACTGGTAAAAGTGTAAATCATCCCATCCGTGACTGAGATCTGTATGCAATTCCCCACCATACCCCAAACAGAACTACTACAGCATCCAATCAGCATGTAGGAAAGAGACTTGTAAACTCAAGCTTACTGTGGGAGGCAGACCAGTCAGGAGACATGGCAGGAAGAGTACAGGCCCGTATGTGGCACAGCAACATGAAATTAAAAGTGACCCTCCCTCAAGGTAGCAGAGAACCAACTCCTGTAAAACTTTTCTTTGACCTCTACAAACATGCATCACACTGTGTACCTACTGCTCTCTTGCGCTCTCTCTCTCTCTCTCTCTCTCTCTCTCTCTCTCTCTCTCTCTCTCTCACACACACACACACACACACACACACAATTACATAATTTTTTTCTGGTAAAATTATATCCTTATTATAAGGTTCAAGATGATAGTATTATAAGAATATCACTATATAAAACATAGCCCTATATGCTGAGTTTAATTAGTTAACCGCTCAAGATGTAGTTCAATTCTAGAATATTTACATGCACAAGCCTAGTACATTTCAATCCCCAGTACCACAAAACAAACAAACAAACAAAAGGAATAAATAAATATTACCTGTCCTGGGCTCTTTCATTGGTCTACACACTGTCCACTGGTTTTGATGAGGGTCATATCTTTCAATGCTTGACAAATGTGAGACACCATTATGCCCACCTACTACAAAAATAAAACCTAGCATAACTCCGACACCAAAGTGAATCCTTTTATCAGCCATGGATGCAACCATCTCCCAGGAATCCTTACTTGGATCATAACGCTCCACACTGCAAGTATTTACATGAGGAAGAATTAATTCATAGGTTATTTTGTTATTCTTTCTGCCAAAGCAAAACTGAAACTAAGTAAATAGACAGATAAAATCACAATAATTTGTCCCAAATGTTGAAGCATCTGTTTTCAGGTATAAAAGTTTACTTTGTGGACAGGAAGCAACAATAGCTGATGCTATTCTTTTATACAGTGAGATAAGATATCCATGAGGGACTGATGGAAGGATCAATTTCATGGATGCTTCCATCCCTCACACAACGTGATGGTACAGTATATGTAAGCACAAAACTTTTTCATTCGATTGCTCACAATGAGTGAAATGCCACTCCAAGAGATACAATCCTTTAGAACATCAGTTTTTAACAAATGTTTAGAACTATGATTCACAATACATACAATCACTAACCTGTAAACTTTACTTCTTCTTACCTATATTAATTCCTTTATTCTAAGAATAAACTACAGAATACAGAAATGTCTCATTCTCACTCTAGTAGTGTGATAACATGTCTAGTATGACCATAGAATCTAAATGATTTTAATTTTAAAAACTGCTCCTTTAAAATTGCTCATACATAAATATGGGTGTCACTATACCATAAAAAAGAGAGAAGAACTTGAGAAGTGGCTCTTTTCTTTCATCCTGGTGCCCAAAGACTGAACTCAGTTTGCCAGGCTAGTATAGCAAGCACATTTACTCACTGAGCAAACTTAATGATCTAAGACTTTCATTTTATGATGTCTTATAATGTACTGGAGTACATGAGTTGCACTTCTACTTTATTCTATTAAGTAATGTAAGAAAAGATCATACACACACATAGATATGTACATAGCTGCATCTTATAAAATCTAAATTTGTCTCATTTGTCCTAGGTTTCTGAGCCATAAAATATAGTTTACTATATTAGTTGAACATAAAATTTAATAGGAGAGATTTGAATCTCAGTGATAAAAAACAATTATACTTAGGACAATATAAATTCCCAAATGCCTGTAAATATCACTTAAGCATATTAAAAAACCCATTTATACACACAAATTATTTACATTTCAAAACTGACTGTAAATTGTGCTTCTGTAAAAACCTCAAGCATAAGTGATGGGGGAAGTTCTTCTGTTTATATGTTTGTCTGACTGGTTGATAAATAAAGCACTATTGGCCAATAGGGAAGTAAGATCGGTAGGAGTAGGAGTTGAGGAGGATTCTGGGAGATGCAGTCAAGAGTAGAGAGTCGAGAGTCGCCATGGGATCCCGGAAAGAGAGCCGCATGAGGCTGCATCCTTTGTAAGTAAGATAAGACCTTATAAAAATATATATTAGTAAGTATGGGTTAATAATTAAGGGTTAATAATTAAGTCAGAACTAGCCATTAAGAAACCATAGCAAACATCCAACAGCTTCATAATTAATATAGTGTTTTGGTGTTCATTTGGGACTGGCACGGTTCTGGGACCAGGCTGGCGGGAAAAACGCATGTTACATATGGCACCAGGAACATGGGTACTAAGAACTTCCACTGAAAACTTGACAAAAACTTAAAAGAGATTTTAGAAACAAAACAACAGAGACAAAGCAGAGACTTGCATGGCCAGTGCTGGCAGTAAACTTATGCCAAATGATAGCAGTTTAAACAGCGGCCGCTTTGATTTTAGCAATGTTGTTTAGCAGATAACAGACACGAGGCCAGAAAAACATGTAAATTTATAGTAAATTCAGATTCGGATAAAGTAAAACCTCTAAAAGATTTATAGTATGTTAAAAAATATATGTAGGCTTGGAAGAGAAAAAGAAACAGGATGATGGGAAATGTCAGGATTCTGGGAAATGTAGTCGCCATGGGATCCCGGGAAGAGAGCTGCAAGAGCCTGTGTCCTTGTTAAGACCTCATAAAAATATATATTAGTAATTATGGGTTAATAATTAAGTCAGAGCTAGTCATTAAGAAACCATAGCAAATGGCCAACAGCTTCATAATTAATATAGTGTCGCGTGTATGGTGGCAGAGACAGTGGCGGAATGCAGACAACTGGCAAAAAAGAATACATTACACATGAGCAATTCAATTATCACGTTAAGTACCTGTTCATGTGAGCAGGGCCATACCCTCCAATGGCATAAATCATTCCATCCAGAACAGCTGCAGCAAAACAACTTCTTGTGGTGGTCATTGGGGCCACAGGTTGCCACTGTCTGATTTTGGGGATATATTTCTCTACAGATTGCAAGTAAGATTGTCCATCATATCCACCTAAAGCATAAAGTTCTCCCGCAAGCACTACCACTCCAAGAGTACTTCGGCTCTCGTTCATTCTCTCTAGAGAAGTCCATGTATTTGTATCAGGATTCCAGCATTCCACTGAATTTTCATGTTTTCTGACAGTGACACCAGGGCGTACGCTAGTTTCAATACCACCTATAACATAGACTTTTTGGTCTAAAACACAGATTCCAAATTCATAACGAGGAATATTTAGGGGCGCCAGACCAATCCAAGAGTCATTCTGAGGAAAGTACATCTCCACACTAATGAATAAGCAGAAAAATAATAGATTAAAAAACTCAAATGGACCATTAACAAGAATGTTTATTTGCATTAGTAATCAAGGTCATGCAAATCAAAACTACAATAAATCATGATGTACCTTCCAGATTGCCAAAAGTACAGTCAGAAAATAACCACTGGCAAGAGTGCTGTGCAAACATGAACACACTATGGCTAAGAATGTAAACTGGTACAAACTATTCTGGAAAACAATTTTATCTAACAAATTTGAAAATACAGTCCTTCACTTAGAATTTAATGTGTCTTCTCTATTGAGTATCGACTATAGCTAACTTTGTAGTAGGCAACATATCCAGAAATGCTCCATGGAGCACAACACAATAATTCATCAAAAAGAAAATGCTAAATAAGGTGTAGTATACATTTGTCCTGTGACTTAGAAACCATAGCAGGCAGGATTTAGGCCCATAGACCTGAGGAAGCCTTAACTCTATATATGGTTTTGTTGGGTTCAGTTCACCCAATACCTACCTCATAGTACATGGAGTCTTAATTAATGCCTATAGTTCTCACGTCTTCATGTTGCTCAGCACTTAGTAGCAGGCCTATGCCCAAAACTGCTCTGCCCACCTAGACCTGTGGCCCTGGAGTAAGAAGAACATCCACAAAGACTATCAAATGTTGTCAGCCTCTCTCCCTTTCCTAATGGCAGTTTCTGGCTTCCTTATATCTATGCTGGTCTCATTAGTTTGTGGAATTCCCACAGTTGCTTTGGTTTACTCTTAAGCAAACCTTTTCAACCCCTGACATACAAAGGCTGTAAATTTCTCAACTTTTCCACTCTAACTTTCATTAAATTATAAATTCTATCTTGAGGTCATTTCTTTCATATCTTAAGTATATTTACAGAAAAACAGTCACACAGAAAAACTGCTGCTTAGAAATTCTTTTGCCAGGTAACCTAGCTTACTGCTCATGTGCCGTATTATTTGCATTATTTGCAAACTTTTAACAAGTTCTTTGCAATTGTATAACAAGGGTGACATTTCCTGCAAGTTCCAAGTCCATGTCCTTCATATCTGTCTAAGGCTACATCACAACAGCCCTTTACCCCCCATACTTCTTCCAATAAGCCAGCCATGTACTGTCACAGGTAATATCTAAGAAGATTCAGACTGCTTCCTCTTCTTGAATCTAGAACTGTACTTAATGTCTATTCATGAAAACCTGGAAAAATTGAACATGTACCCATTATCCTGCTTCCACATTTCCAAGTATTTGTTACAGCAACAGTTCCGTTTCCTTGTACCAATTTTTCTGTCAGTTAGTTTTCTGCCATAACAGTTTATTTGGCTCATGGTACTTAATGCTGGGAGGTACTCACGGTACCTAATGCAGGTCCAAGATCAAGGGTCTGTCTCTGACAAGGGTATTTTACTACATCGTAATGTAGAAAAAGCTACTGGCAAGACATGAAAGAGGGACCAAAGGAGTTAAACTCCTCTCTTGTAGAACCAATTCACTTCCATGATAATGGTCTTAGATGCCCAGGCTCTAACTACTTCTTGATGGTTCCATCTTTCAGTAAATGTTGCATGGAGGATTTAGTTTCAACATAGACATTTTGGGAACACATTCAAACTGTAACAGAGTACATGTGCTGAAATAAGCTGGCATGAAAGGACTGGGTCAGACATGCTTAGTCTTTGGCCTGCTCTCCTTTATTTCGGCATTTTCTTTCAAATATCCTCAGATGTTTCTATTCAAGGACAAAATATAACAAAATCACAGCTTTCCAACTATCTGCTGCTGTCTTCACTTTTACCTTTTTCATTCATTCTCAATGTGGTATAATTTATCTACAACATTCCTACAATTTGGTGACATGAAAGTCATTAATGGTCTTGGATACTACCACATATAACAGCTACTATCTTTATCTTTCTGGACCTTTCCTTCACACTTTAATTTGCTGAACACATTCCTTCCTCCTCGAAAAGCTTAAATTCTTGGGGTCCAAGACAATATTTAACTCTGGGTTTTCTATCTCTAAAATGTTTCTGGGTTGACATTCATAAATAAATCATTTTTCCTTTCTATATGTCCTTACGGGGCAAAAAAAAAACCAAACAAACGGGGGGGGGGAACATGTATGCTGGTAACAAAGTTCATCAAAGACTTCATAGTTTCATTTTACTTTTAAATTATGCTGTGAGACCACTGATACATGCAATCACATCCAATAAGCAGAAAGACACTTTTTACTTGGATATTTAATAGGTATTTAATCTCCATATGTCTGAAACTTGAACACACTATTTCCTTAATAGTGTGTTCTTGGTAGTAACCCTCCAATCCATTATTAATTACAAAATCTCATCTATATCTGCTTTCTTCCTCTCCTACAGCATCCTTCTTCTCTATCCATCTAAAATCCAAATCCCATCAGTTTACTCTCGCAAAATATTTCTTAAACTCCCCCTATTCTCTTGCCCATTCTTTTTTTTTTTTTTTTGGTTTTTCGAGACAGGGTTTCTCTGTATTGTTTTCGAGGCTGTCGGTCCAGCCTGGCCTCGAACTCACAGAGATCCGCCTGCCTCTGCCTCCCGAGTGCTGGGATTAAAGGCGTGCACCACCACCGCCTGGCTTGCCCATTCTTTTTTTGTTGTTGTTGTTAAGATATTTATTTTTGTATTATGTGTATACTTGCATGCCTGGTGCCTACAGGAGCCAGAAGGTGTCTAGAAGAGGGTATCAGATCTCCTGGAGCTGGAGTTACAGACAGTTGAGTGTCAAAGGGTGACGGGCTCTGCAACAGCAGTCGATGTGTTAAACCACTAGGCTTTATCTCTGGCTCCCCTTGCCTGTACTTCTACAACAGCACCTCATCTACCCACTCAGAGGCTAATCCTGGTTCTTCTGTGTTCCTCTAAAATGCAGCCACAACGATCTGACATGGAAGTCTGATGATTATGCTATCCTTTAAAATACTCTTTTGTAACATATATAAGCATTGTTTCCCTGGCATACAGCAATACCAGATATTGATCACATTGACAACTGTTTCACTAGTCAATCAGAACTTTTTATTTTTTACTATCAAATAGTTTTTATTTTTATTTATGACCTACACTACACATTTCCTCATCTTCCCCTTCTCTGCTTGACTCTTGTTTTCCGTTTAAAACTTAGCTTAGACACTAACTTCCAAACAAAATCTTCACTAAGTTGTTCAAATGGAATCAATACTTCTCCTTAATCACTATACAGAATTATCTTTATCACTGTATTAACATACTATATAAAATATTTTACCCTTTACTAAATTATGAATTTATTGAAGGCCCTTTAATACAGCACTCTTTGACAGTTGTTAATGAAAATAATACTTTCAGTTTTACTATGATAGACTCAATAAGGAAAAGACTACTAGATACGAATATAAGGGCATTTTTCTGATTTTCAATGACAAGTTCATTGTTTTTAATATTTGAGAAGCCAAGAGGCAATTACACAATATTTTTTCAATATATATTCACATTTGGAATTTTGTCATGATGTCAGTTATTCAGTTCATGTCAATATTCCATTCTTTTAAGCCTGAGTCAAACAATCAACATGTATGATTACCGCAGATAATACTCTACTTGTAGCCCAATCTTCATAACAGTATTTCTAGGTTATAAAGGGAATGGATAGTGAAACTTTTCATTAGAATATATGAAATGCCATTGATGATATATCAAGTTTCCTCTAACTAGAGAAAGAAAAAAGTTTACCAGAGTTTTGGAAATGAGCCGGGCGTTGGTGGCATATGCCTTTAAGCCCAGCACTTGGGAGGCAGAGGCAGGCGGATCTTTGTGAGATCGAGGCCAGCCTGGTCTACAAAGTGAATTCCAGGACAGACTCAAGAGCCATACAGAGAAACCCTGTCTTGAAAAACAAAAAAACAAAACAAAAAACCAAAAACACAGTATCTGTTAGCATTACTCCTTTAAAAAACAAAAACATTTACCTATCCAAACAGGCAAAGAGTCCAGATTTTCCTCCTACTGCACACAATACTTTAGGAGCACAGCGAGGTCGCGTCATCAAGACTGTCTGATGAGAGAGTCTATGTTCAGGCATGAAGTGGTACTTTAGCGCTTCATTCAAGAGATGTTTACAAGTACGATCATCACGGATAAGATGATTTGCTTCATACAGCCTAGTAAGGAACTTAACACTCAGCAATGGTAATCGCACACTATTCAGCAGCTGTGCTAAGTATTTCTGGCGTTCTTGTACATCATACTTGATCCAGGACTCTAAGGCATAAAAAACTGTCTCTTCAGTAGCTACATTCAAGCAGTCATTGGAGACAATTTCATCCAAATCAGCGTGCGTAAGCTCAAAAAACTCTTCTGTCTGGCAAACAGATTCAAAATTCTGGCATATGTATTTAGTAGCTGCCAAATAAAGGTCATGACAACCATACGTCTCTGCAAAACGGGAAATTCCAATACAGTTACCAGGGTCAAGCTGGCTTTCAAGAAATGCACAACATTCTTTCAGGACAAGTTTTATCTGGAGTAGGTTTGCTGCTGGCAGGAGAGATTCAACTGTATCCTGAGAAATGAAAACGGTCCCCGTATAGGCATACTCCACAATGGCCTGCAGTGCAGCTTCATCAATGCACTGAAACTCAACCTCACTGTTCTCTTTCTCAGAAAGGTTGCCAGTGAACATAGCTTTAAAGTATGGGCTGATGCTGGCAAGTACCACTTTGTGAGCATGAATTTTAACATCACCTACTCGAAGAACGATGTCACAGAGTTCGTGATGCTGACGAAGGAGATTCAAGCCCTGCAGAAGTTGTTCTGAATGTAAGTGGGTTAAGTTAGCAAGCATGTAGGTTGGGGATGTGTGGTCCATCTACAGAAAATAAAAGACACGGACAGTTATTTCAAAATAGTCATACCAGTGTGAGTTTGTGTCCCAAGAGTCCAAGACAGACTTTTTTCTTCACCACTTTGCTGGGTTTAAACAATGAACACTAAAACAGGAGGCTTATAGAGATAGAAGGAATTTAGCTATCATTTAATGCAACTCCTTAGTTATAGATATTAGGAAGTAGAGAACTAAAAGACATAAGGACTTTCAGATGCAAACTAAGTATTTCATTGATTATTTTCATTAAAGACTCCGCACTACAATAAAATACAAATATATGGAGAAAAAGTTGCTTGCAGCCAAATTAGTTTTGAAACACTAGCTATTTGCTATTTTCTCAATAATAACATCAATAATACCATTTGACAGCAACTTTACAAAGCATAAAGTTCCATATAGGGATTTATAGCACAGATAGCTCCATCTTATTAAATTGCCTCTTCCTACGGCCTCCATGCTCACTAATTCATATTCTTTGCCGCAGTAGTCTTTCACTCCCATAATGCTCATGTGATCATTAGTATTATAGCTCTCCACATCTCCACATAATGTACTATCTCCCAAATATTTTCATAGTCAGTGCTAACTATTGTCTATAATCTTCCTTTTTTCATGCTCCTTTCCTCAATACACATCTTCAAAAGTCTAGGTTAATATTAAATTTCTCTAAAAGTCTATTCCTTTACAAGCAATTGACTTAATTATATATGTGCAGACAAACTTGTAACCACCCCCCACCATTTGTCTGATTTAACAAGGAGAATCGTTTTCAGACTGGACAGTGGACAATGAACAGTGAACAATGCCAATGGAAACAAGAAAGGTAGAAAAGGAAGAGCTATACACATTATAAGAACATATTTCTCCCAGACTAAACAATCACATTCCAAGATAGTTACAAAGACCTACAAATGAGATTCTGAACTAAGAATAGACACAGGGTTGGGCACTAATCTTAGAAGCAAGACTAAATTTTATAAACAGTCTGAGAAGACTCATCTTAACTCCAGATACCTGTCTAAAATTAGCAATGATGTGATTTATGGTTACCTTAAATGGATTAAGTCTATTCTAAATTAGCTACCAATGATAAGGCACATTAAAGACATTGTTTCCTCTCACCATGAGCTTAGAATTTTCCATCAAAAAAGTGTTTGTTTAGAAGCTAATAAAGAATCCTATAATACCTCTCAAGGTTTTTGAAAACAAATCTAAAATTAAAATTTAGCCCATTGGACTTTGACTGCCACCCCTCCTTGATGGAGGGCCTCACTATCCTTGGGGAGCTGGAGGGAGGAATCTAGTGGTGTACTGTAGAATCATGACCATACTCTGGCTCTGCCCTTTCCCTTTACAGTGACCATAAAGTGACTATGAAGGGCAGCAAAAACAATGGACAACAAATTAAGTATCCTAAAAGACCTGACATTTAACATAATTTTAATAGGGATAAAATATAAATATTGCAAAAACACTGGCACAAGCATAAAGAAGAGAGAGAACTGCCTTCCAGGCCCCAACCTCCAGTGATCCCAGCTTCAGGTGAGCTTGGGTCTCCGGGGGAACACTCTCCATCCTGCGACCAACACCTATCCCCTCGATCTTCCCATCTTCCGGGGCCACTCCTGGCATCCAGAAGACCCGCCCACACAGGAAAGACTTCAGCCCTTTCAGGCCCCAACCTCCAGCGATCCCACTTTAAGGTGAGCTTGGGTCTTGGGGGGGGCACTCCCCATCCCACACCCAACACCCATCCCCTCGATTTTCCGGGGACCCACTCCTGGCATCCAGAAGACCCGCCTACACAGGAAAGACTTCAGCCCTTCCAGGCCCAAACCTCCCGCGACCCCAGCTTCAGCTTAAGCTTCAGTGTCGGCGTCCCCAGCTTCAGATTCAGGAAGGAAGGAGACCAGTGGAGACGGAAAGACCCCACCAGCACCCACTGGAAGAAGAGATGGGAAGAAGACAGAATAAGAGCTCACTCAGCAATAGAAAGACCAACATGACCCCACCAGAATCTAGGGAACCAACGCCAGCAAGACCTGAAAAGCACTACATAGACGAAGAAGAGGAGACAGACCTTAAAAATTATTTCATGAAGATGATGGAGACCCTCAAAGAAGAAACGAGGAAATCCCTTAAAGAAATAGAAGAAAAAAACAAATAAAATCCATGAAATGGGGTAAAAAACTCAAGAAATAAATCTCTCAAAGAATCTAAAGAGTACCAAGAAAAAACAACCAAACAAATGAAGGAAACAACTCAAACAGTTGAAGGATTGAAACCTGAAATAGAAACAATAAAGAAAACACAGAACGAGGGGATACTGGAAATAGAAAACCTAGGTAAACGATCAGGAACTACAGATGCAAGTATCACCAATAGAATATAAGAGATAGAAGAGAGAATCTCGGGTGTTGAAGACTCATTAGAGGATATACAGTTGTCAACCAAAGAAAATCTCAAAACCAACAAATCCCTAACACAAAATATCCAGGATATATGGGACACCATGAAGAAGACAAACCTGAGAATAATAGGTAAGAAGACGAAGAAATACAGCTCAAAGGTACAGAAAACATATTCAACAAAATCATAGAAGAAAACTTCCCTAACCTAAAGAAGGATATGCCTATGAAAATACAAGAATCTTACAGAACACCAAATAGGCTGGACCAGAAAAAGAGGTCACCTTGCCATATAATAATCAAAACATCAAACCTACAGAATGAAGAGAAAATATTAAGAGCGGCTAAGGAAAAAGGCCAAGTAACATATAAAGGCAAACCTATCCAAATTACACCTGACTTCTCAATGGAAATAATGAAAGCCAGAAGATCCTGGACAGATGTCCTACAAACGCTAAGGGAACAAGGATGCCAGCCCAGACTACTATATCCAGCAAATCTTTCAATTACCATAGATGGAGAAAACAAAATATTCCATGACAAAGCCAGATTTAAACAATACGTATCCATGAATCCAGCTCTATGAAAGTGCTAGAAGGAAAACCTAGACCCAACGAAGATAACTACATTCACAAAGACACAGGCAATAGATAATCCCACTTTACCAAACACCAAAAGAAAAAGGGAGGAGAATCTACACAAAATTACTCCACTACCAATAAATCAAGCAAAAACAAGAATCATCAATCAATGGTCATTAATATCCCTCAATGTCAACGGTCTCAACTTGCCTATCAAAAGACACAGACTAGCACAATGGATACAAAGACAGAACCCATCCTTCTGCTGCATACAAGAAACACAACATCAAAGACAGACATTATCTCAGAGTAAAAGATTTTCCAATCAAACGGACCCAAGAAACAAGCGGATATAGCAATCCTAATATCTAACAAACTAGACTTCAAATTAAAATCAATCAAAAGAGATGAAGGACATTTCATATTCATCAAAGGAAAAGTCCATCAAGATGAAGTCTCAATTTTGAACATCTATGCTCCAAATACAAAGGCACCTACATTCGTGAAAGAAACATTACTAAAGCTCAAATTGCACATAAAATCTCACACACTAATAGTAGGAGACTTCAACACTCCGCTCTCACGTCTAGACAGGACCTCCAGACAGAAACTTAACAAAGAAACAAAAGAAATAATAGAAGTTATGACCCAACTGGGTTTAACAGACATCTATAGAACATTCCATCCAAACATAAAGGGATATACCTTCTTCTCAGTGCCACATGGAACCTTCTCTAAAACTGACCACATAATAGGAAACATAGCAAATCTCCACAGATACAAAAATTTGGAATAATACAGAGAAACCCTGTCTCGAAAAAGCAAAAAAAAAAAAAAAATTGGAATAACCCCCCTGTATCCTCTCAGACCACCATGCATTAAAATTAGAATTCAACAATAACACAAATCGCAGAAACCCTACAAACTCATGGAAATTGAACAATGCACAATTGCACCATCCCTGGGTAAAGGGAGAAATAAAAAAAAAAAGAAATTAAAGACTTCCTGGAATTCAATGACAACGAAGACACAACATACCCAAACTTATGGGACATTCTGAAAGCAGTGCTGAGATGAAAGTTCATAGCACTAAGTGCCCACATGAAGAAACTGGAGAACAGTCACACTAGAGAATTAATAGCACAGCTGAATGTTCTAGAAAAAAAAAGAAGCAAACTCACCCAGGAGGAGCAGATGCCAGGAAATAATCAAATTGAGGGCTAAAATCAATCAAGTAGAAACCAGGAAAATATTGAGAAGAATCAATGAAACAAAGAGTTGGTTCTTTAAGAAAATCAACAAAATAGACAAACCTCTGTCCAAACTAACCAAAAGACAGAGAGAGAGCATGCTAATTAACAAAATCAGAAATGAAAAAGGGGACAGTGGATACTGAGGAAATCTAGAGAATCATCAGGGCATACTTTGAAAACCTGTACTCCACAAAATTCAAAAATTTAAAGGAAATGGACAATTTCCTGGTTAGATATCAGTTGCCAAAACTAAATCAAGAACAGATAAACAATCTAAACAGACCTATAACCCTTAATGAAATAGAAGCAGTCATCAAAAGTCTCCCAACCAAAAAAAAGCCCAGGCCCAGATGGCTTCAGTGCAGAATTCTACCAGAAATTCAAAGAAGAGCTAATTCCAATACTCCTCAAAGTATTCCACAGAATAGAAGCACCGAAGACAATTTATGCTGGAGAGGATGTGTAGAGCGTGGAACACTCCTCCACTGCTAGTGGGAGCGCCAACTCGTACAGTCACTTTGGAAATCAGTATGGAGATTCCTCAGGAAAATGGGAATCAATCTACCACAAGACCCAGCAATTCCACTCTTAGGCATATATCCAAAAGAGGCAAATTCATACAACAAGGGCAGAGAAAGAGGAGCGATGAGCAAATTGGCAAAGAATGGGCTGGCAAAACCAGCAGAGACAGCTGATCTGAACAGGGGAGAGCTCTTGGACCCCAGACCGACAGCTGGGAG